ATGTGATTATAATATAACAAAACGTTTATGTAGTTTTTAACATGTATGTTTATGCAGAGAAAACAAAACCCATAGACTATATAGAATTGTGTGAATTTGTCTTGCATGCTTGTAGCCATTCTGTTGTCTGTAATTACATGTATAACCCCCCCCCCCCCATCTTGAAATGCGGGACCCGTATATAGTGATAGAGGTGTCCGTCTTTCTCTGAGCACCGAACCCACAAAGATACCCGGCCGCTCCCATATGAGTATAATGGCAAAGTCCATATTTTGCCATGGGAAACCCCAAATATCTGTCCGATCAAAATGTAAAAAAACAAAAAACACTATGTATACAAGCATTATAAAGATTCTGTCAAAGTCTCAAGTTCTATTCAGTAGGAGTTACGGATAAGAGATCTAGGTGCCAGTGCCCCCGGATATCATAGAAAGAATGGCAGTGCTCATGTTTTGCTATTGGAAACCTAAAAACATGAAAATTAAGACGCCCTTGGGGGGGGGGGGGGTAAATGTATCATACCTACATTTTTTAACGTTTCGTCTTGTTTTGACCATAGACATAAAGCTACATATTTTTTATTGATTAAATCATAAGGATTGGAAACAAGTTCTAAAATAACTTACAAGTTCCTCTCCTTATATACATGTAATACAATATGTCATTCAAATTAAAGAAAAATAATACAAAAGACACGAATAAAATTTAACATATCAACTAAGAAAATCTACATGTTTCGTCAATAAATTTATGAACAGCAGCAAAAATACTGTCATTTATTTGTCTATATCTGTTTACGACACCATCAATATATTCAGACCAGCTAAGGTTTTGTGACAATAATAGAGTCAGATGACGATGAACTGGAACACACTCCAGTCTGTCACCTTTAAAAAATAACTTTGGCATAATAGAAATGTCTTTCTTATTGAAAAATATAACCTTTGTTTTGAATGGATTAAATCAAAATAGCCACTTATTTGACCATGTTCTAAAATCATGATTTAATTTGAATTCAATATCGAATACATTGTATGATGACTGTTGAAGTGAATTGTCATCAGCAAACAATCTACACACTGAAAGCATATTTTCAGCAACATTATTTACATCAATGAGAAATAATAGTGGCCCTAATACAGACCCCTGGGGTACACCTGCAAAAATATCTAATATTGATGATAAAAGATCCTTATACATTACTTTTTGTGACCTTTGACATAGAGAAAACCACTGGAGAAGATCACCAGATATACCATAAGTTTGTAATTCAAATAGTAGACCTTTGTACCATACTCTATCAAAAGCCTTTCAAAGATCACAAAAAACCATACAACATGATTTACGTACCTTCATCAATGTTTTGAAAGATACTATGATACGTTTCAAGTAATTGGTATACAGTTGAATGTTGCAACCACTATTGAAATAAAGACCACTATTGAAATAATTATCTCAAAAGTGGTTGAAAATGTATTTCAAAACCAGCACAGATTGTAACCGCTATTGAAATAACGTTCACTATTGATATAATTATTTCAATAGTGGTTGAGAATGCAGTGACCTCATAAATAGCAATAATTGTAAAAAATAATCGGAAAATATTGGAAAACACAATGAACACTTTAATCCATATATTTCTTTTAATAGTGGGTGTTACATGTATTTCAAAAAGGGTTGTAATGTGGTTTTGGTATTGAAAGGCATTGTCAGCTAGTATTAAAAAAAAAATCAATACTGAACGTTATATTTCAATAATGGTTGCAATCCTGGCTTTGATTTTGAAAATCGTTCTTAACCACTATTGAAATTATAATTTCAGTAGTGAACAATCTTTCATTAGTGGTTGCAACCTGGTTTTGGTTTTGAATTCAATGCATTGTCAACCACTATTAAAATAATTATTTCAGTAGTGAACTTATTTCAAGAGTTGCAACTGGTTTTGGTTTTGAAATGCATTCTCAACCACTATTGAAATAATTATATCAATAGTGAGCGTTATTTCATTAGTGGTTACAATCTGTGTTGGTTTTGAAATGCATTTTCAACCACTATTGAAATAATTATTTCAATAGTGTTAGTTATTTCAATAGTGGTTGCAACAGATCAGATCCAGCATCCGAAGCTTACTTAAGTCTGAAACTGTGCACATCCCTAGATGCATCATCCATGCAAGTTTGGTCCAGGTAGGACTTACAGTTATTTGGGAAAGGACTTGCTCCTAAAACTGGAACGGGGACGCAACGCTGACACCGAAGTCCCACGGGAGAGGCAAAAATGTTAATGATGCATGATGAACGACGGAAACAGGCAAGAAACAAATCATGTAACTTTTTTTTCTTACTACGACTTTTAAAAAGTCGCAATACAATTTCTTGTCTTAATTATGATTTTTATCTCAATATTACGACTTTTTACCTCGTAATTACGACTTTATTAATGAAGTAATAAAGACTTTTTATCTCGTTATTATGTCTTTTTATTTTTTCATTTTCCTAATTTGACCACTCTAGACTTTCATAATGTTGCACGCCTGCTAATGTGAAGAAAATTTATGTCCGTTTTCAGAGGAAAAGAAAAGGTTTTACTCAAAACAAAAATTTGGAGTCCAAGAAGCCGTTTTCAGAGGAAAAAAAATAGGTTTACTCAAAACAAATATTTTGAGTCCAAGAAGTAACACTCTCATGAATAGACTTTAACTAAGTCTTTTTTGTCCATGGAAGCAGAGACATAAATAACATTATTATATCTGTGATGAAAGCTCAAATAATAGATCTATTATAAAAACGATTTTTCCTGTCGGCTAATATGTTTACAAATCCGGAAATATACTCCTGTTCCAGTCAGGTCTGTATTTATACAGCACAATTCACTTCCTGTAATTTTTTTTTCTACCTTGGACACCGTCAACAATTTAAAAAAGTTCTTAGGTCCAGGTAGGATTATTAGCCAATAATATTTAGTTGGTGCTACATCTGCCGGCTTTCGAGAAGATTTTTAAAGATTTTCTGTATATATTCCTATGAAACACTTTGATCACCCAGTGTGGCCCCACCCTACCCCTGGGGTCATGATTTGAAAAAAAAAAATTTGTTTGTTTGTTTGTTGTAATAATGTCCATCTCGAGAGAATTTTTCATTCGTATGTAGACGTCACCACTAGGCGGTGGAGGACTGCAAATTAAAACCTATACTGGGAACTCAGGGACATTGAGCAGTGAGGGATCTTTTTCGTGCCAGCTAGGACATCAAAACTGAACATACGCTATGTAATGAAGCTTTCACATAAGAATCAGAATTTTCACTTCTTATCTACTTCCCTTGAAAGAGGACAAATCCCTTCATTTGAACAAACTTGAATATCCTTTATCCACGGATGTTTTGTGGCAAGTTTAGTTGAAATTGACCGAGTACATGTAGTTCTTGAGAAGAAGCTGAAATTTTGAAAAGTTTACAGGCAGAGGGATGGTCAGACAAAATGTGATCAGAAAAGCTCTCTTGAATTTCCAGTTCAGGTGATCTAAAAATGTCAACCCCAACACCAATTATATCGGCACATGATTGTATATTCGAATGGCGCAAAAAATAATTACCAAATAATCATTACTACTGAACAAAAAAACTAATACATGTTGTATTCAATCTCCAAGTATATATTACAAGAAAAAGAATAGGCTGATTTCTCAGATATCTCAAGAATTACAGTATCTTTAGCATATCATAGTGATGTACATCAATCCTGGACACAATTTTCTGACCAAAAAGTTTTCTCCCTACAGTATTGTGAGTAACGCCGTCTGTCTCCCTCTGTGCTTATGTGTGTGTTTGTCAATCTCTCTTTCCTTTCTCAAGTAAATATTCGTCAAAACAATATATCGACGACAATATATGCCGACCTTGACTGTACATATTGTCGCCGACAACAATATGTGCTGGTGCTTGACTGTACATTTTGTTGTCCATTATGCAGGAGGAAAATAAGGCTCATCTGGGTACATATTGTCGTCGGTGACAATATGTACCGATGGATGACAATATGTGCCGTGAGGGTAGGTACATATTGTCGCTGACGACAATATGTACAAAACGACAATATGTACCGTCACATACCCCCTCCCCAGAATCGCAGTCATTTACACTTTCAGAGAAAATGGAGTGGCAAACTGTTTATTACCACTCTCTTCTACAATATTTCATCTACTAAACCATATATGGCATGTTTGTCTTTATTTTCTTTTATCTCCATAAACAGCATCAGAACTCTGCTCACCATCTGAAAAAATTGTTTCACACAGCAAAGTGCTATGTACTAACAGTAGAAGTTGCCATTGCACTTTTATTTTGAAATTCCACCTGTTGCATTTAGCTCCAAATGAAAATCTCAAAGAAAAGTGCACCTCTGTCTTCAAATATATACCAGTAATTCCAATATTTTTCTGAGTAGCCTAAGTCTTAATATGAGGTACATGTGTCATTAGCTTTATTTCATTATTGAAATACACAACTTTTGTCTTTCAATGACCAGTTGCTCTTTGGGTGTCCAAATTGTCTGTGACCATGCATGCTCTGGGTAGCATGCAGAAGTTTTTCCATATCAATGATTGCTCTTTTTAATACTGTAAATCATCTTTTATTTGCTATTTTTTATCAGTTTGAAATTCATCCTTGGCAACTAATTTTCACGACTGAAGTTCACAGCAATAAATACAAGATCTCAAAACTCATTGGTATTTCTCACACATGAATTAAAGTTGGTTTACAGTATTCCTGTAGCATGAATTCATCTTAAAATTGATAGAAATCTCGTTCCATGTCATGCTGGCTGGGGTTTGTTGGTGTTTGGCAGGTAGAGCACCTGTCCAGAGTCCAAGGGTTTCAAATCCTGGTCTGATCTATGTCATTTCCTCACTTACTCTTACATATGTAATGGTTAAAATGCAAAGCCAAACTTTACCTTGGTAGAACAATAGCTGGACAAAACTTCAATGTTAGCCCTTTTTTTAGCATACCATGTCTACAAGACCATCACATGATAATGTAATCAACAGTCTAGGCGTCAACATGGCTTCAGCATTGGACCAAATAATGACAATCCAAGAGCAGTCTTATGATGAGTTTCTGGATGGGTTTACCTACTTAAACAAAGGTACATTGTTTATAAAAAGTAACATGTATATACATGTAGTTAAAGTCACTGGTTTATTTCATAATTTTGTGTTACATTTGCATGGACCCTAAGTGTCCTTGTTGAAGGTCCTCTGAAAGTTTACTATGTATGTAGGTAAAAAAAATAGTATGGGTTCTGAAAATTTATTTTACAGATGAATTGAAGAAAGAGGTGGTCAATCTAGGAAAAAAGAAGCTAGAGAAACCACTGACAAACAAGTCAAAGAATAATAAAGAGAAAGGAAAAAATATAACAAAACCATTGTCAGAGGATAAAAGTAAAGCACCTTTAAAAGCAAATACAGATGATGAATTGGAGGAAGAGGTTTAATATCTTGATCTTTTATATTTATTTCATTTTTATTTATTTGTTATTAATTTCTTGATCTTTATTCATTTCATTTTTATTTATTTATTATTAATTTTTTAAAGAATAATTCATACTGTAAAACTTGTATAATATGAACACGGATATAGCAAATTTACGGATGTAGCGACCTTTTTTGGAATTCCTAGCAAAATTCTTAACATTTTCTTGTAAATAATTATGAATATAATGAATTAATGGATATAGCGAACTGTTTTTGTGTCCCCAGGCCCTGGAGGTTAAAAATAATGAAATTTACATCTTTTTAGTGAATTTTTAAAGATCTAAATTTTTAGAATATTGAACTGACATTATTTTTGTTAGTATATGCATGTGTATTTTTAAATTTGAAATCAATTCATCCGTAATTTTTTCAATTCCAACGTAACTTTTGTATTTTTAGATACTTCTCAAAATACATTTGGTAGTTATACTTGAAGAGAAAATAGTCTATATTGTGATTTTGCTATAAATACTTTAACAAATTTGTTATATTGATATAAAGAATTACGGATATAGCGAAGTAATTTCGCAGGTACCCAAGACTTCGCTATAACCGAGTTTTACTGTATATTGATTCATATGAGTATCCAATACATATACCAAATTTTATATTTTCAAATTCATGTTCAAATTAATGTTTAGATGCAACCAGTTTGAGCACAATCATCAATTTTAAGATTATGCTAAATTGCTTCCATATCAAGACAATTGCACTTAAATGCAGAGTGATACAAATTTGATGTAAGAACAATTAACTATTTTTTATTTCTGTCATCCCCTTCTTTTATTGGAAAAGGATGCTACATGTAGAACATGAATGAGATTTTAAATTCTTAAATTAAAATTTGATTAGCAAACTTTATAACCCAAATTGGGACAATCCTTCTCTAAAATGAGGGTACACTTTCTCAATTCATAAATATAAGTTATGTCCCTTACAACCTGTAGAAAGAAAAGATCAAATACAAGTAATAATTTTTGTCTAAAGCCACTATTTTTAATCTACATTCCCACCTTTCTACCTTTAAAAAATGGAATGTAGGAGTAAGAGCAAATAAAAAACCTGTAGTTACAAGGATGAGCATTGAGCAATAATATCTTCTCAGAATTTCACTGTAAACATGGTAAATAAATCTTATAGATCTTAACAAAGTTTGACAGGTAGCCTTACCAAATCATCTTTAATGTATTGATAAGAGCCTCTCTGTTATACTTCTGTTACTTAAAGAATTTCAGAGTTTTGTCTTTGTATTTCCAATTATTGGTTTGTTTTCAGTTATTAGAAGAAGGTGAAAGGACAAGCATCATGTCACAGAAGTCACCAACTGGATCTGACGTTACGAGCAAGCTTAAGGTATCTGATACATTTATATTGAGTGGGAGTGAGGAAAGGGGGATTTCTTGCACGTAGGAACATTCAATTTGTATATTATTTAAGGTTTCATGGTAAATGCAGGTAAATGTCAAAGCAGAGGGCTGAGAGAACCAGTCAAGGTTTTCAAAAAGTTTCAAATTTCCCCAAACATTATTGCACCAAAGAAAAGAAGTGGTCCAAGATCAAATTTGATTTTCGAAGTGCTTATGAATGAGAAGGATCAGACTTGCCTTAGAGAACAAATTTTAAAATAAATGATGTTTTAATGACTCCCAAGATTTGTCTCCCTTTGCAGTTTGATAATTTTGTGATGGATTGCATGGAGGATGAAGAGGAGGAGGAGGACTCTGATGGAGGGCAGGAGGGTTTCATGTCAGGAGGATACCTGGCCAGTTTCAGTGCAGAGGGTAATGCAGAGTCCTCTAGCAAGGCCATCTCAGAAGGTACAAGTGATCATAACACTGCTATTTTTTAACCAGGTTTTCCGAAGGAAAAATGGTGAAAATACCAGCTTTTGAACTTAGTCATATTTTGGCAAAATATTGTATATAGGGTACCCCATTTGTCCAGATAACTCCTCCTACAGTTTTTAAGATAAGAACTTTTTTTTGCCGATCAATTGTACATATATCAGAGATATGCATATTACTTTAATTTTTGATAATTTTTTAGAAAATTACCAGCTTTTGAACTTAGTCATTTTAAACAAAATATTGCATGTATGATACCCCATTTGTCTGGTAATCTACTAAAGTTTTTAAGATAGGAACTTTTTATAATCCGCACAAATGAAGTTTAGGGGGGTATATAGGAAGCACCTTGTTTGCCCGTCTGTCCGTCCATCCCTCTGTCCCTGCAAACTTCTCAGGGCTATAACTTTGTTAAGGAGAAACATTGAAAGGTCATACTTGGTACAGAGATTGCTTTTCACCCAATGGTGTGTCTTGACCTTTACCCAAGGTCATTCCAGCAAGTTCAAGGTCACTGGCTGAAAAAGTATAAAATTCTTCTCATTGCTAAAACTTTTACTTTGTAATGGAGAATCACTAGAACCTCATACTGAGTACAAAAATTGTTTATGACACAAGGGTGTGTCTTGACCTTGACCAAAGATCATTCTGACAAGTTCAAGGTCACTGCCAGAAAAAGTATAAAATTCTTCTCCATGCTGGTTTATAATTTTCTAGATTAATACCAGTTCTATTTACACAAAAGAAAACCCGGTTTGTTGTCACATTGACAGCTTTCCACTTGTCCTATTGCTAACAACAACAGGTTCAATATCTTTTAAGATTTGGTTCAAATAAATTATGCTATGCTCATAATTTCTGAGTGCCCATCACAGTTTAAAAATTAAATGTGATGTTCATTAATCATTATATTTCAATAAATTATATATGCATGTACCGGTATACAAGTGCATGATGTGAATGAATATGGTGGTCAGTAGTAACATGAGGGAAACAGAGATGCCTGAAGTTTTTGTTTTTTTAGGTTCTCTGATCTGGAGAACTGATGAACCATATTCTCTCTTTCATGAACAGGAAATTCTAAGGAAAAAATGCTGCCAGTGTCTGACGAGGAAGCAGAAGACATTGACAATCTCCTTCAGGACAACAGTGATAAGTCAAGAGTCCTTAACATTCCATCTAAATCCGAGAACACTGATTTCCCAATCAAGGGTGCTGATCAAGGATGTTTTTCCGTTGAGAGAACCAATTCAATCCTTGACTCCAGTAACCCAGTGAGTGAACTTGATCTTCAGAGGGAGTGTGCACAGTGTTCAGAACAGCTAAGTTGTGAAGACAGAGTAGGAGCACCTCCCTCTGATTCTTTGTTAAATCCTGGAGAAGTGGAGGATCTTGGATCTCCCAGTGCGATTAAGATGAAAAACAAGGAGCGGATTCTAGATTTCTCTGCCACCTACAGAACAGAAGTGCTACTAACTGAGGAATCAGTAGAGGTAGTATTTCGTCATTATTGTAAATAATTATTCATTTTATATTTTAGTTTTGGATACTCCTTTTTAAAGAAAGCTTTTATTCAATAATGCTCTATATAACATGTAAATTTTGCAGTGGTTCAATTTTTAGCTCACCTGAGCCAAAGGCTCAAGTGAGCTTTTCTGATCAAAATTTGTCCATTGTCTGTCGTCGTTGTTGTTGTAAACTGTTCACATTTTCATCTTCTTCTCAAGAACCACTGGGCCAGTTTCAACCAAACTTGCCAAAAAGTATCCTTGGGTAAAGGGGGTTCAAGTTTGTTCAAATGAAGGGCCACGCCTTCTTCCAAGGGGAGATAATTAAGAATTCGTGAAAAATTAATAGTATCATTAAAAAATCTTCTTCTCAAGAACCACTGTGCTTGAAAATATGAAACTTATGTGGAAGCATCCTCAGATAATGTAGATTCAAATTTGTTCAATTCATGTCCCCCCCCCCCCCCCCCCCCCCCCCCCCCCCGAACCACTTTTTTATTTAAACTTTTCAACATTTCAAGACTGAACTGATTTCTGCTTTTTCCTAGCCATAGTGCTCAGGTGAGTGATGTGGCCCCTGGGCCTCTTGTTTGGAACATTGCAGCTAGTCAAAATTTCACCCCCCCCCCTCCCCAAAAATACAATTACAAAATATTCAAATCCAAAATCTGAAATATTAAAGATTTATGAAACTGCAAAAATTTCAAGCAGGAATTTGGATGTTACCTCTATGAATGTTACCTCTAAAAGGTCAATTAAGTCTCAAGACTCTGAAGCAACAGATACCTGTTACACATAAGTCTTACTGCCACAAAGAAATGAATATTGTCTCTTTATCCATCAATTAGAAATCACTAGTCCACCGTGAAAGAACCTAGTCTAATTAACTAATTACAGTATAGGATGCTGATCTACAATTAATTCTAAGTTGACCAGTTTGAATACCTTTCTTTCAGGAGTGTTCCAGTGAAGTGACAGCTTTTTGTTTGGATGAGGACTTTGATTATGACAATGTTGTGTTGACTCCAAAATTCACGGCAGAGGAGATGGAATTTCTCAGGAGTTGTAAAACTTGAAATTAAGTGGGTTTTTTTTTAAGTGTATGTGATTATTGTAGGGGATCTCAAAAATAAACATGTCCAAATATCTTCATTTTTTCATCTGTTTGATCTTAAAAATATCAATAAAAATTATAAATAATAATATAAATCCCTCATACATGTATTTATAAGCAAAATTTGCTCAATACGTTGCATTGCAAAATTTTGCAACAGCATACAGTCAAACAAACTTGTAGCAAAAACGCTTATAACGACACTCACAGTGAAGTGATTTTCATTCCCTGTGGCTTTAAAAAATATTGTGAACTTAACAGATATAAAGAATCATGTTTATAATGAAGCAAAATTGTCTGTCCCTGATGCTTCGTTATAAGCGTGTTTTACTGTATTAACATGTCTAGGATTTAAGAGTGCTCATAAAGGCAAGGATACTGATTTTTGCAGATCAAAAATTGATGAAATCATCAAAAAGTTATAAAAAATTAATGATTCTTTAAATATATGTATATATATATATACATGTATGTAAGAATTCTAACTTCTAATACATGTATATCGAAATACTTATTTCGTAGCAGCCATGAAAATCTCCATTGTTAGAGGAAGATATGTAGTTTCGGGGTCATAGATCAAAGATTACCAGGTACTGCTATGGCCAGAACACAGTTGAATCATAATTTTACTACATAGCAGGCCTGTCTAACCTAAATTTTGTTACAGATCAACTATGAAGGTCAAAGTTTAACACTATTGATCATCACATATTTATGAGAGGTCATTTCATTAGAATGTCAATTAGTGAAAGGTCAAAGTCTTAATATTTTTTTTTTATGGGACCTAAAATATTTAGCAGATATTGTACTGTTAAATGTCTGCATTCAGGTCCAGAAATATTATCCACTCCAAGCAATCAATTTGGATACTTTTTCAAGATAGAGACTACTAGCTAGTACATCTCATTATACAGGTAAGTAAAGGAGGCAACATGTCAACTCATTGGTTAAAGGTCAAGGTTATTGTAATAAATATTGTGTGATTCTCAGTTACTTTGTCTGTATTCTAGTTGTGAACTCATCCATGTCATAATCAAATATAAATTTGGATAAAAAAAAGAAAAAAAAGAAAAAGGAATCTGAAAATATTTTGAAATTTTATTCATTTTTATTTAATCTTTCTAAATAAACTCTGTAAAAGCAAAAAATAAAATGCCATGATTTTATATTATATTTAAAAGTTAAAAAGAACATCAACAAATCAACGGACAGTGAAACCATATTACAGTAAACATGCACCAATCAATCAAATGTCTGTGTAATCTACTAAAATGTATTATCATATAAATGTTCTATCTATTTGAAATTCGAAAAAAATGTGACATTTAACATTTTTTTTAAAGTGGAAAAAAAAATACTGACTTCAAATGCGCTTCAAACCCTGGAGTTTTGTAGAAATCCTTAAAATTCAGTAAAAAAATCCTTTGAAAAAAAAATTACCATAAATTTTTTGGAACCTAAAGAAAAGTTAAGTCAAATGATGAAAGAAATATAATGACAACAGAATTAATGAAGTTTCCAACAAAGTTGGCAAAAATTATTTAGATATGTCTAGTGATTTTCTTAAATAATGTTTTAAAGTGCATCCTGTACATAATTTTGCACTTGCTCCTGTACAATTTTTTTTTATAACTACATGTTGACATGTGGTCAGGACTAGACTCTAAATTTACCACAATCTTTAACAACACAGCTGGACAAGAAATGGCATAATTCTCCATGCAATACAAAGCAAATTTTTGACTAGCAAATTTCCTATACTCTAAATGCTGTGAAATCATCATTGATTGTGGGGAACCAATACTTATGGATTTCGAGGGTTACCCTTACCCACAAATTTACATCCCCAAGAACTTTACCTTGACATCATGTCAGTTCATAATGACTCTTCAGTATAAACAAGATAACCATGAAATTATGACCCCCCCCCCCCCCCCCCCCGGTCATATTTAAGTTGCCCACAAACATTGACCCCCACAGCTTAAAATTGTTCCATAGTATTGCAGCATAAGGCTGTTTAGTAAGCCAGAATGTGGTAAATTCATCTCCTCATTAGCCCTTGGCATATGGTGTTAAAAAAAGTTGGGATTTTTTTCTCAATTAAGTTGTGATTGGAGTTGATCGACATCATTCGACCAATCAGCAATTGTTTTTTGTAAATGACGATATTTGCGTTCGGGATATATCTTGACTCTTTCATATCGGGAATGAAAAACGCAAGTAAACAACGATCCGTAAGATAACGTGCCATTCTATGAATAGCTATATGGTGTCATCCAATATCTTAAGCTACGTGCAAAATATGTCATTAAGAATCTATACTGAAGATGTAGATTTGCATTTTAACATGTTTAAATAACAAATTAAAAAAAGTCAATACCTTCTTGTTAATTATTCTTTAAAAACATTATTTTTTCAAATGTGCTTTTTATTTCTGTCGATGACGCAATCTGTGTGTACCTGGTAAGAAGCGTGATCATGTGACGAAAACAATCCCGTCTTTTGTCAGCACCGTATGCCAAGGGTTTATGAGGAGAGTAGCGTTTCAGAAACCCTTGGCTAGCGAAGATGGTGGTAAATTTAGTACCAATACATCTGAAAGTCATTACAGAATTCAAAAAGACCATGGGCCACAGTGCTCACCTGACTCATTTTCTTCCTGATGTAAATGAATTGAACCTCCAATCTGATCTCCTAATCAAAGTCTCTGATTTCAAAAATTTTGACTTGCAGTATAAGGAGGCTTGATGTGAACATACAAACTGTAGTTTTCTCATTCTTTTGATGTCTTAATTTAACCTTCGTTCCCCTATTGTAGCCCCAACCTAGTCCCTGAGGCCATGCTTTGAATGGACTTACATGGGGATGCTTCTTACAGATATGGCTAAGTCCCTGCTCTCCTCAGAAGTTAATATTTTTTTTTGTATAATTTCTCTGCAAAAAGTGCCTCCATCACTGCAGTTTGATCTGTATCTAGACCTTATGAACAGATGTTTTGCTGTTTATTTAATTATGGCCCAGCTTTTCTAAAAATAGTTTTCCCCCTATAGATGCCAATGTAAAATGGACCCCCATCCTTGCCCCAAGGCCTATTATTTGAACAAAACCAATTCTACACCACAAGGACATGGTTGTCTAAAAATGTTACTAACTGCAACCTTCAAGTTTTTGAGAATACTTTTACTATTCAAAATTTTGACCCTCTTAGCCTCCACCTACACCAGACATGCATTTCTTTATGATCTTCCTTTGAAGGAAGGAGTGATCCTCTATTTTTAAAAAAAAAAAATCGAACCCCTTTTACCATGGATATTTTGTGCCAAGTTTGGTTGGAACTGACTCTATGAAAATAAGAAAAATTTAAAGATGACAGAGGGACGATGGGCACTTTTTGATCAGAAAAGCCTTTGGCTCAGATGAGCTAGTAACAACCCCCCCCCCCCCCCCAAAAAAAAAAAAAATTGTTGTCCCAGACTTTGGTCAAATAATTGATTTCAAAATAGTGAATTATTCCATTAGGACAAGCAAACAAAATAAAAAGAATTTGAGTAGTTGATTCATATGCTGAATTCTATTAACTGTAGTAAACTTTTATAAGAATTGGATTCACATGCATGACGTGTCAATCAATTTGATATTAAAAAAAATTAATAAATACAATAAGATTTAATAAATTAGTAACAGTGTGTGTTGTCATAAAATGTACACAGTGTTTCAAAACCGGATGAAATAAGGATGGAATGTTTCTGTGTAAATTAAATCCCTTAATTCACATAAAATTCTTCATATTGTAGAAAAAGACCTACACATGTCTATGAACTAGCACAGAATCTTACATGTGTACTGTAAACATATGTGTATTTACATCAGAAAATGATAATTATTGCAGAAATTAGATGTTTATATACACATATGGGCTTTGAATTCTGATCAGGGGTACTGGAACTGTCTTACTGATTTTAATCTTAGGCAAGCTTGAGATGAAAATGTGAAAGACATTAAATTGTTTGTATTGCATTGACAGACATCATTGTTGCACTTTGACCTAAATTAGCACTCGTTTACAACAGAATAAATAGTATACATATAAACTAGCTTTTGTAAGTATATTTACAAAAATGGACAAAAACTTGCAATACAATGTAAATAATTTACATAATCATTAGAATTACCAATGATTATGAAAAATTACAAAACCTAACAAAAATAATCCACAAAAGTAAAAAAAAAAAAAAGTTTACACACTGGATAAATATGTACAATTGCTTTTAACTTGAAAAATGTAAAATGTCTAATTTAAAATTTGAAGGTAATATGTGCTCTGAGAAAACATAACCAGTACTGACTAAAAACAACAAACAATTGAACACTTGAACATTCTTAATCATATAATGAAACATTTTACAAAGGATTTTACAGCTGAAAATATACAGCTTTTTAAAAAAAATCTTACATTACATACACTAAGAAGGATTGCTATGAAGAAAAAGTTTCTTAAAACTAAGAAAAAAACTTTAGTAATTTTATCTAGATTAAGAGTATGCACAACTGAAACACATTTATAAAAGCCATATTGGTCAGAATAGACTTTGTAATTCTATTAAAGTGGACAATATTTTGGCTACCTTGGGGTTCACTACCTTTATAGCATTATGGGAAATTGAAAATGTGGCAAATAAAAAGAACAACATTTTATGAGTAGTATAACATTAACATTATTATATTTTTTCGACAATTACATATTCTTCACAGACTGGTATGGTGACTAGGGTATCTGTAGGTTGACTAGGATCCAACTCCTGAGTTATGCCTCATGACGAACAGAGTTGTCCTTCTTGGTCTCTGTTAGAGATGTGTAACACAATCGAAAATGTACTTTTGTAGCTTTTTTTTTTTAGATGTGATGTAACACACACATGACTAAAAGAAAATGACACAGTGCCGATGAATGTGAAACACATCGATGACACATACAAAATGTATATGTAATAAGGTGTCAAATTCTGTACACAGGGGTGAGTGTGTCCCCTGCCCCTATAATGAAGAATTAGGGCTGGGACTTCCGTACCCGCTAGACAGATCGTCACTGAGACTCTGTGTCTGTTTCTTGATCTGGGACAAGGCATTGTAGCTGCACGTCATGTTGGCGAACACCATTCTTTCTTCATAGTCATACTCACATAATATTTTATTGTCACAAAGATAGAATTTGTCTCCAACACAGAACCTGCATTCAGAAAACATAACATTCACAATTTAATCCAAATTTTTATCATAAATTGAAAAACTGATTTATATACCATTTCTATTGTAATCAGAAATAGATTTGATACAGAAAAGGAGCCTCTAAAACATTATAAGGAAACTCTCAACACTAATGAAAAATGTTTTTTTGACTTGGAAAAAATATCATATAAAAACATACATAATGAGTTTATCATTTCTAACATACCTACCATATTTCCTCAGGAAATACTTACAGACAATAAAGTATTAGTGATCAGAAGTCATCGTTGCTTACTAACATTGGGAAAATACTTGCAAATGATGTATTCAATTACTTTATCTTTGTCTAACATAAAGTTATGAATTTGTTAATATATTACAAATTGTGTCATTCACTGTAGATTTCCATTTATTCTATCTTACATCTATGGGCAAATCACTCTACCTGCATCAAAGAACCATGGAAATACAACTCTTCATTGTGTAGTGTTTAGAGCTCCTTAATTAAATCATAACAATTGGTAAAACATATATGGATTTTTATTTTGGTGGAATTTAAATTTTGGCTTCTTATAGGCATAATCTTTAATGTGATAATTCATGATTCCTAAATATTCATTACAAATTGAATTCATTATCATGCAATTTTGTGAAAAGCACCACTAACCAAATAAAAATACCCTCCTATTATTTCATTTTTATAAATTGTCATGTTCAAATTCTGACAGCTAGCCAAATACAAATAGTCCTGACCTATGTTTGTGTGTGAAGTTGAATATACTTAAGTGAGCATTATATACACAGAATCTATGGCATAAAACCTCTTGTAATCTTTTTTTCTAAGCATTTGGGCAAGATGTGTATATTCTTTGTTATGTAAATAATACATGAGAATAATTCTCAAGTGCCACCCAAAAGCCTAAGTTTGCATATTGTATGCAGTAATGTTACACCATAGAACATAACGTTATGTCTTCACCTGTTCCATCTAGGTGAATAATCAGCCTTCCCTAATCTATATTATTGACTCTCAGATCAGAATTTTTTTTTTTCTTTTACAAATTAATTAACAGAATTCCAATTTGGTGTAATGACCTCTGCACATAGAGGAACTGGCAGTATAAATCATAATAATGGACCTGGTAATTAATATACTTCAAGGGTCTACCAATCTCTATTTTCACCCATAAACTTATTATTAAAAAAATTTGCAGGAAAAGAATGAATGGGTTTTAAGTTTTATATTGAAATTTAAAACCTATACACTGAAACACTTAATTTTAGTGACTAATTTTTATGTCCACTTTTGCATATTTTTGGAGGACAGTTTAAAAAAAACCAAAGTCCCCCTTTTCCCATAATGGTACAAATTTACCAAAAATTATCAATGAAATCCATCAGTATACTTTGCTATATTTCAAAGAGGGATATAAAATAACTGCATACTTGACATTCAATTTTTCAGAAGTATGAAACTCATTTCGAGATATTGAAGACTTTACTTGGGTTTATTCAAGATCATAGCTAGGGATTAAAGAGTAACTCAGTAGTGCTACCATTTTGAGTGATATGTTAGATTAGACCATACATATGAAAAGCTAGCAGGAAAATTTGATGCTCAGAGCTAAATGCAAGGTGAAAACCTTAGTTACCGTTTTGCAACACACTGATTTTTATAAAGTTGTGTAATTGTTTACATGGAAAATTCTGCCTGACTTTGCAAAATTTATCCCCCCAAAAATTCACTTTAACCAAGATATCTGTAAATCAAATCTGTCACCAATTGACTGGTCAAGTGATCCATTCCAGTTACAGTTGGATATATCTAGCACTTAGAGGTTAGCTTAGCCTCTACACTTTTGATGCCACCCTGCCTAATAAATTATACAGTGGCGGATTCAGGGGGGTTTGGGGGGGTTCGGGAAAACCCCCCAGCCCGATCAAAAAAAATTTTTTTACAAGTGTCATTTTAACAATATATTGCATAAATGCGACTCTATCCAACCCACTGTTGTACACAAAGAGGTGAAATATACAGCAACCATGCGAAATCCCTTTCCGCTTGAGCGCACACAGTACACAGGGGTAATCAACAGTACAGAGATCATGATAGTCCGTGCAGCTAGTAAAGACACAACGTCATACACAACAACCAAAACTGCACTTAGTTATTACGGTTTTGTTTTGGTATTGCTGAAGTAATATTGTTTCGAGAATTTTCTTCTTTCTTTGATAACTGAATGTTACGTTATTGAACTACGTGAATAAACTGTGATTATTATTTAGAAAAAAAAATTAATTAATACATCAGGGACATATACTGTCTAGTTGTTTACGTTGTGACCTGTACCAAAAAGCACATTGAAAGTATTCCTTTTGTTGATGGAAGTTACAATGCAATTTTAAAAAGCATTTTTTTAATTACAGTTGAATGATGTTGAATAAATCCCAAATAATGGTTACAACTTTGTATAATGAATTGTGGTAAAACTGATACGTATAAATTAGAGGTCCTGTCAAAAACAAAAATTGGTCACTTTTTTATTGATGTTTTTCAAGACTTTTTTTTCAAAACAGGTAAGTGGGTAAAAAAAAAAAAGAATTAAAGAGTGCATTTATGTTAGAAATTATAATTACCCCCCCCCCAATGAATAAGCAATAATTCCAACAATTTCCCAAAATAATTTATATTCATTCTTCAATATGAAATATCATTATTTGTTTATATACTGCAAATTATATGAACAGTATAGTCAAGTAGTTGAAAAAAGTAATTAGGGTTTCTACACAGAATTCGAATTTTGTAAGTGTTGGAAAATTGCACATCATGCAGTTGTATTTTGGTAGATAAAGCGTGTTGGACGTGCATTTTAAAATGAAGAATTGGACATTATATATCAAATGGCGATATTTCTAATTTTATCAGATTTAAATTTAATTTTTTCTTTAGAAAAGTCTCATTTTTCAAGTTAACATGGAAGTTAAAAATAATCCCAAAATTTTATTTTATTTTTTTATTTTATTTATTTATTTTTTTTTTTATTTTTTTTTTTTTTTTGTTCAATTTCTTGAAAATTTGGGTAGGTTGGTCTTGAAAAACAACTAGAAAAAAAAGTGGCCAAAACTAATTAATTCAATCTAAAATGCTGGAAAATGCATCATTTGGAGCCATATTTAAAGAAAATTTCTCGGGGGAGGCCCCCCGAACCCCCACCTATGGGAGGGGGACACCCCCTCCCATGCCCTCCCCCTTCGGCCCTACGGGCCTCAAAACCCCCCCACATGGACTTCTGGATCCGCCACTGAAATATATTGTGGAAAACCCATGTATAAGCAAATTTATCTTTTTGTTTATTTATAGTCAATATGTACATCTTTGCAAATATAAATGCCTTATGGTTTTGAAGTGATATTAACTGCTAGGATCAAGGGACAATATGTGTGAAACAGTTGTTATATTGAAGATAGAAATGACGTACACCTCTACTGTCATTGTAAACAATGGCTGCAAGAGTTGAAGCCAGCTGTGCAATTGAGAAAGAAAAACTTTTCGGAAACCTCTTAAATGATGCTTTCCTTAAACTGATTTAAAATGATGTCTTACACAAAAGGGGAGAAAGTTCCTGCAGCTGGTGATTTAATATGTAAAATGGACAATGAACCTATCTGCTACAGAACTTGTTCTTTGAAAAAATCTTCGTCACCATGCAGTCTTCAATGTCTTGATTCATTTAATCCCAAATTATTTATATAATAAAACAATTATGGACTTTTTAGGTGGTTAATATGATTTGCTATTGACCAGAATGTAACTGACCAATGTGACAAACAATACTGACCATCCAGAAAGCACATGCAGTCAAGATCTCAAACCCAATGGTGCAGGGAAAACACTTCCGAGTTCTGAGAGGGTTTGAGATATTGAAGTTCAAAAATACATAAATGGTGAAAATAAATATCTCCATGGTTGGGACGACACATCCATGGAACATGTATTCATTCTACATTCCAAAGCGTTCAACTGTAATTGAATAATATTACAGCATTCCATATTACTGACCTATGATTGCACTGCTGACAGGCAAAACATTCCAAGTGGTAGACATTGCTTTTGGCTCTCATGACCATTTCAAATGCAGGGATCATTTTGGAGCAGGCTGAACAGTAGCCTGTTGTTCCAAACAGCCTGAAACAGTAGATCATTGTAGTAAAGTGTCAAATTTTGAAATCTACCATATCTTACTGTGAAATCACTAATTTTTGTGGAGGTTTAATTTTCATTGTTTTCTTGGTATGAAAAGACCCACAATTTCATGTCTTCCACAAAATTTGAATTTTTAAAATCTACAACAATGCAGTATTTCTTCATCTTCAAAATCAAATCCCCTTGAACCAATAATTTTTCCTCAAACCATGAAAATTTGACCCCCAAAAAATAAGTAATTTTGCTGTATTTAATACTGAAAACAGGCCCCTTGGTCTTCACCTGTTGTGACTTCATAACATATAGGGGGTGAAAATTGCCTAAATATCTTTTATTGAGTGGGTCTCGTAAGGACATTAAATGACAGGACTCATTTCTTCCTTATTTTTTTATGCCCTAGTTTTTGTGCCCCACTGTTATTGACCTCCTCAATGGTAATCTGATAACAATGTCTATATGAGCTGCGAAAAACACAAATATTCATTCTTAGATGACTGAGGATATTCCAATGAGAAAAAAATTAAGATACATGTATTGTGGTATATTGGAAAAGGTCAGTGAACTGTTTCCACAACCTTTAAATCTGATATATATTGAGCTGCAGTCTAGCTATGTCTGTGAGTGAAATTAAAATTCTGATTATGACAATACAATTATAATGTAGTCAAATATTTTTATACAATGGCTTAACTTTGAAATTTTTTTTTCAATTAAATAATATATTGATTTATTTTGAAAAACTATAAACCATAAAATAAAACTTTGTAGAAATGAATAGATAGAAAGCTAGGACACAAATCTGTATATTCAATCTGGGATGAAAAACTGACATTTAGGAAACATACAAGTCACCATTATCAGAAACAAGCTATTCACATAAAATAAGTTGCTCTTGTGGTGCAGTGGTTAGAGCATTTGCTCTAGAGTTGTGGAGTAAGGGGTTGATTCTTAAGTGTTGGGTTTGAATCCCACTGTGGGACGTGGAGACTGATCCTTAGGATGAGACCATATAAACCGAGTTCCTGTGTCACAAATGTCCCTCACTGCTCAAAGGCCGTTGGTGCCAAGTACAAGTCTAAATTTGCAGCCCTCCACCAGCAAGTGGTGCCATCTCAATGTGAGTGAAAAATTCTCAAAAGAACATTTAAAAAACAAATAAAATATTTAAAATTTACCTCAAGTAGTCCCTCCTACAGAGGAGGAGGTTGGCCTTGGTGAAGAGAGTGGATCCCACCTCCCCCAGTCGACAGTCACAGCAGGAGCACTTCAGGCAGTCCTCATGCCAATACTGCTCCAGGGCCTTCAGGAGGAACCTATCAGAGATGGCCTTCTTACACCCAGCACAGTCCTGCTTGGTGGCCATGCTAACCGCTTCTTGGGAAATCTGAACAGGGCCTGCCAATACAACACGTAGAAAAAAAATAATAATTACAACATAAGATGGAAAATTAATTTTGATGACAAGAGTGTAAACAATTGATGTTTGAAGTTATTAGATCAATATATACACACACAACAAATGATATTGAGAATAAACCCCAGAGGCTTATACTAATCTCTCCTTCATGAAATAATTTACTTTGGAACATGAAAAACACATCAATTTGTTTGGACTTTATATTCATACCCCTAGATTAGTTTTTAATCATTAATGCCCATGCACTAATGCCCTTCTCTATGACTTGCATATATTGGTAAATAAGTAAGGAAATCATTCCATACATCCTTTGAAAAATGTTACACAATTTTTCAAAGGTAATTAAAGTAAATCGATCGCATATACAAATATTTGAATCTTTGAGGGACCTTTAATTAATTATCAATGACCTCATGCAGTTCTTGATACCTTAAATTTTTTGACAAGATAATCTCATTTAACAAAAATAATACAAGTGCCTAATCCAAATGAATTTTTATTTTAAAAAATTCATAGTTACATTATTTGCTTCTTGCACTTACATTTCTGATGGCTGAGGTTAAATAATGAATGTACGATTGATAATAAAATCATACTGTATTATCTATTACCAAGACAATAAATAAAGAATAATTAAGCTATTGTAAATATAATCATATGGTATTAACTATTACAAACCATATATATAAAAAAATTATTAATCAAATTATTTTTCTTTAAATTTGTTATTCTTGTCTAAAAAAAAAATAGGATGCAAATAATCTGGTTGACCCCCCCCCCCCCCCCCAAAAAAAAATATTGATGAAATATTCCACAACTGTTCATTTTCTTTAGACTAACATTTAGAGTATAGTTCCGTGTCTATATATTATAATGATGGAACAAATTTCTAACTTTTCATTTGTAACTAATAAATTTCAAAAAACGCACACTAAGAAGTATTTTCCAATTACTTTTTTTAATTTTCTGAATGTTATTTCAAAAATTTTAAAGATCACTCTCAACTTAGCAAAAAAAGGACAAGTAATTAGGTTTGAGACAGAAGACAAGATTATATTGTCTTTTTTCACTGGAGAAGCAATTCAGAGTACACAGGGGTGAACGGCATACACAGGAAATATCAGGCAATTTCCTAGATTGCCCCCATACATAGTTAACAATTCTACGATTTAGTTCATAATCTGGACAGGATTATTCCATTTCAAATAAAGTATTCTACCATTACACTGTCACAGATCAGAACTGATAATACCTGACAGGTGCCCTTTATAATGGCTTTGTTGTGATTATTACTAAATATATCAAAAGATTATTTTCAAACAGAATTTTCCCACCTACTACTAATATAAGATATATATATATACTTACATATTTATGACAGTTTGTTAAGACAAGGGGGGAAAAATCCCAATTAAGATTGAAATCTGGTATTTTAATCCAAGACTAACCATTCCAATCCCAAATGTTCATATAAATAACCTTCCTACATCATTCCCACCAAACTGACACATACACTCACATTTTCTTTGCTCCAAAAAATTATGCGTTTTACATTTCAAAGCTTGGTATTTTACACAGAAATGCTTTTTAAATTCACTGATTTTATAAAAAGCTTCGGCAGCTTTGGAGTTATAGACACACAGTCAACTTCAGTTGCTGATCATGCAGATAAAGTCAACAGAACAGCTTACATAGATTTTTTTTTATTTAACTTCATGTGGAATTGACAGAGTGCTTTTAAAATTACAGGGTTATTAAGTAAATATTATATGCAGAACAGTGCTGATTTATTTATCAGGAAATATGGGGAAAAGAATCCGGAAGGGAGAAAATTTAAAAATAAGCTAAACTTACCATCTGTTTGCATTGCCATGGTAATTGAAGACATATACACAGAAACAATTAATTTCCATGCCAAGAGAATGAAGGTTGCTTTTTCAATGAGTACTAACACCTGACTAAAAAAGTTGATGCAAAACACACAGGTTCGTGAAGTTAATGCACTCTCCGTCTTTAGATCTCCAGAAATAATTTTCAACAACCCTGAAAAAGTGTATCATTATTTCATCTGATTGGCCACTGTATTCAGCTATAGCCACCATGGATTGCTGAACTTCCCAGTCGTCACATTTAGATGAGATGTCACACGACCAAGACGGCCATAATCAGCTCTATCAAATCCTGCCCAATGCCTGAATACAACCTTAATGATTTCTTTCTTTTGATACGAAAAGTCATATGCATAATCTTTCCAGTCAGCTTATGAGCGGTAACAAAAGAAAACTTTTTAAGACCGGGGCCATGAATGTTCTATAAAGGAAATAGAGAGTCAGTTAGAGCTTGCGAATGTCGTTTGTCACCTCAGTCCAAGTCGCGTTCACGGATGACTCCATAATGGCTTATTAGTTCGATACTTAAATCTCTCTTTAAGAGGCACACATAAATACAGTATAATATGAAGGAAATAGGATTGAGGATATAGAGCCGTTCATAAGACATTACTCCTGTCACTTTTTCTTTGAAGACAATCTGGCTATTCAAACAATTTTTTGATGTGGGCTGAGCTTCTGAAAAGATAGTCAATAGCTGACAGATGTAGCTCACGAGGGATGCCACTAACATATTGCATACAATCTGCATAGCAACGCTATCCTAACCTTTAATAATTACTCAAACTGGCATAAATTATTAATCAAATAATTAAAAGTGCAGATGTAAATTGCATGCAATTTCACCTTTACAATTTTTTTTTTAATTTACAAGATAAATGTGCTGCAAATTTTTTTTTTATTAATAAAGGAATTTTTTCATATGCATGAAAAAGGTTTTTATCTATAAAATATTCAGATTCGAGGCTTAAAAGTTTCAAAGAGCATGAAAAATCCAGCCTTTTATGAAAAGGATTATCTTTGCATTATATCACCATTTTCTTAATAGACCCTTCCCCTATGTTTTATCCTTTGACTCAGTATGGTATCATTTCCATAATGGGTTACACACTTTTAGTAAAAAGATTTAATAATAAGTCTTAAGAATATGAAATCCCTTTTAAAAGAGTCTTTTTTTATAGTCAACATCCATTATTTCATACAAAAGAGAGTGCCAAAAAGGGTTCTCTTATATTATAATTGGCAAGTCTAAGTTAAAAAACATGGCTGCTTAATGAACAGAAGGTCCTTCTGCATTGACATTTTCCATTAATGGCCTAAATCTTGGAAGTTTTTGACAACCATTTTCCAATCATGTGCCAGCAGCTTACATTTATTTTCCATCAAACAGTTAAGCAGTTACAGGATATGAAAATTATCCCTAACATTAACACCGCATTAGCCTGTGAATAAAAAGCACCGGGTCCAAAAATAGTCCCCCAATACATACACTCAGGATATCTGGTTATGCAGACCAATGCACACGTTAATGACGAGAAATGGAAAAGACTTAAGCCGTCCAATTACAAGTAACTGACCACTCAACATTTCAAGTCAGGGAACCAATTTAAAAAACAAAGCCAGGAGCACTTAAACCTATATAATCTGATTGGGAAGTGGCAACTAAATGAGCCATATTCATTTTTCCTTCTCCCTAAGAATAATGTAGTCTGTCTGGCAATGGCAAAAAATGATTTATTAATCAATGTTACCCTCACAGTTGTGGGCCTTAGTTTTTTGTTTTTGTTTTTTTTAGTACATCGTATTAAGATATCGTTCTTTTTTTTTTAATTGCTTGTGAACATTTTCATCGCTCACTGTTGAAAGAAGACATAATACTGTATTTTCCTAAAAGCCTTGTCATACCCAGTTTTTACACTGTTTGCATGTTTTAAGGGTTCATTTGTTTTAAGCCCCTTGTTGATGATGATAAATTAAAACCTCAAAGGAGATATACCTACATAAGCAGCTGGCAAAATTTCTCACATGGTGACAAGTAGATATAGCAGCATAGATAAGTTTTTTTGTAAGAGAAGGAATTACACACATAATTATAATTGAAATCAAAATAAATTGGTAGTGGTGGCAAAATATACAACATATGGGTAATTAAATGGAAATAGAAACTTTTAAAATGTTTGATTTTTTTTAAAGATATCATTGATGTTCCATCATTTAAACCTAAAAACAAATTAGAATGCTTGTGAAAGTCAGAATTTTAATTGATATATCAATTACATACTGAACATTTTAAAACCACTGAACTGCATTCACTTAATGAGAAGGGGGGGGGGGGGGGGGGGAGGGGTGGAGGAGGAGGAAGGGGGTTTGTTAAGCTTCCAGAACTTTTACAGAGGCTTTTATTCTTACATCTTAGTAGGAAAAGGGAACTTATGATCCAAACATTCAAATATTTTTTCAGGTATAATAAGCCTTGGTATGATATGTTCTTTAATAAAATAAGCATAGAATCAATGCATCTGATAGTGTATAGGAGAATGGTATGAAGAATGGTAAAATATAGTATGATTGTGATGTAGTATTATTATATAGATATTGCATGTAGTTGAGTGTAACACTGAAAATTTTCACCCCAAGAAAACCATTGTCAACCTCGGCTGTGCCTCAGTTAGCAATGGTTTTCTTGGGGTGAAAATTTTCAATGTTACACTCAACTACATGCAATATTTATTATATTATACTGAATGTTTTATACTAATACATATAACAGTGAACCTTTCGCGCATAAATTCTGCGCAGTCACTATTTTTTGGAATATCACCTGTCGTCAAGCAATGTTGACTGTTGCTACGCTGGAGGGCGTGGCTTCATCATTCAGCGGGCAATAGTGTTTTTAACAAATGTTTTCGACGAATCAGATTCAACTAATTTACATGAAAGTATAATATCATATTATACTAATTCGTTTTTCGAGGGGTGAAAATTTTCACGCAACTACATGCAACACGCAACTACATGCAATATTTATATAATGGTCCCTTATCCAAGAATACATTTAGGGATGTGAATTAAGGATGAGAGACATTCTA